TTCCAATATAATGAATAAACTTAAAACTTTACTATCATTGAAATGCTATATTCTAAAATATATGATTGAATCACAATGAAAAAGAAATAAGATAATAGATGAATTATTACCAAATTAAACCAATCAATGATCATAATACATCATGTTAACGATATCTTATAGAAATTTTGTAGTCAAATATATAAAAGCTAAACCCAATAAAATGTAATAAATATAGTATAATTAGCGATTATTTGATAAAATATTATCTACAATATTATGTATTCGATAGTTAATCATAGAGTCAAATATCAATCATATCTATTTATCAATTCTGCAAAATTAAATTTAATACAGAGTCAATAATTTCATTAAATCTATCAATAATCGATACCCCCATCCAAGGAGGGATACGAGTTAATAGTCTGCGTTAGATTTGTTGTATTTTTCTTTATCACAAGAATACGCTTCAAAAAGTTATGAAATCCTGATATTATTACTATATTTTTAAATTTTTATATTGTTATTGTCTCTAATCTTTAATGTAGTATGTTTCTCATTACTCTTCTTTCCCTGCCATGGCTATATTATGACCATCAGTCTTGCATCGTCTGCACTAGATAGACATATTTAATGTATTCGCACACTTCATCTATGTAATAGATATCTCGTTACCAACTCGATGAGAATTCGCGATCACAGTCCCAAATAACACTTGTGTCTAACTAGTGCCCTCGCTATGCATATAGTTATACTCATATATGATATTAAATAGTTAATCTAAATAAACCTAACTGCAAATTCATTAAAAAATATCATAATACTATATTTCACTGGGGCGCATGTGACCCAAGAATTCATGATAAGTCGGACTTGAGAGAACATCCGACTTAAGATAATGGATCTGCGTCTTGAAGTAGTACGAGTCCTTATTTTGGAAGTTAATAATGAATTAATCTTCAAGTCGTGGATATTTCTATTGCGCATCAGCTATCCTATTGCCCTGGCCGGAGTATCAACTCTCTTAGTGCTTCTAATTGTTATGAATATTAAGATTATGTTAACTTCATTACTGTTACCATCATTGAGATTAATATTCCTGTTATTATTTCAATAATAATGTTGTCATTATCATCATCATTATTAATATCATTACTATTATCATTATTGTTAGCTTTATATCACAATCTTATAACCATTAATTAACATTATTATTGTTACTATTCTTATTACCATTAACATTATTATTATTGTTGCTTTTATCTATTTTTTTTTCATTGTCATAATTATTATCAATATACATTACCTTTATCATCAATAATGTTAATATTACCATAATCATTATTATTTTTTTATTGTTACAATCATTATTCTCTTTTATTTACTATCATTATTAAGTTTGTTATATATAATTGCCTTTATTATTGTTATTAGCATTATCAATATAATCATCATCATCATCATTGCTATTATTATTATCATTATCATTATTTATCAATTATTTTATCATTATCATTATTATCAATATTCTTGTTATCATTATCACTATTATATAAACATCAATTATTATCATAGTTATGTTGTTATTATCCTTATCATCATCAATGTCATTATTATTTCTTGTTGTTAAGTATCATTACTATTGTTATGATTGTCATATTATTCTGATCCTTATAATTATTATTATGATCATTATAATTATCATTATCATTATCATTATCATTATCATTATCATTATCATTATTATTATTATTATTATTATTATTATTATTATTATTATTATATTATAATTATATTATTGCTATTAATGATAATAATTGTCATTGTTATTGCTATTCCTGTATCATTATAATCATTAATGTAGAAAAGGTATGAATGTGAATAAATATCTTCACAATACAAGATAAATATTTGGCCAGTTTCGATTATACTATTATTATAATTAACATTATCATTATTATAATTATTATTACTATTTTTTATATTAGTTCTTATCTTACCATTGTTATCATTGCCATTGTTATTATCATTATCACTATTACTCTTGCCATTATTATCATTATCATCGTTATCACTATTATTCTTGCCATTATTATCATTATTATCATTATCACATTTGTTATTATCATTTGTATAATTATTATAATCACTGTATCATTATTGTCCTTACTACTACTCCTGTTATCACTATCATTATTGTTATTATTATTAGTAACATTCTCATATGTATTATTTCATCCTTATATACATACATAATATATATATTATATATAAATATATATATATATATATATAATATATATATATATATATATATATATATATATATAATTGTTATGGTCATTAGTATTATCATTAGTATTACCATTATTGTTATCACTTTCACTATCGTTAATATTTATATTAATTTATTATCATTATCATTATTACCTTTATCGTTTTTACAATTGTCATTATTATTATAAATGCTTATAAACGTTATTGATTTTAGTATTGTTTTTATTATCATTATTATTATCAT